ATATATTCTTTAGCTAATCACCATAGCAACATCACACAATGCATCCGCAAAGGCCAGACCCACTGAGTCCTTCCATGTAGCATCTTGATTATCTTCTAAGCCTTTTTTTTCCGGAGAATGTCACTAATTTCTCATTAGATTCCTAAGTACAACAGAAGGATCAATAAAATGAGAAATTAAATCTATGATTGTGTTCCTGGTATATGTCCTCCTCTTCATTTGCCACCACCTTATATGCAGGCCCACATGAAACATGCATTCTACCCTATAGGTCCGTTTGGTTCACATGAAATAGTTTGACGGAAAAATGTTTATTGAAAAATATTTACATATACAAAGAGTCTAGAGGGAATTAATTACTTAAGCCTGGTTTTTACAATGTTTGGTAAACATACTTGAAAACAGGCAAAGAGACAAAACACAAGGACAAACAAACAAGCATCTATAAAAAGGTTGCAAGGATGCTTAGGAATTTTGAGATAGTTTATACAAGATAGTTTTTTTATATAAAAAATTTGAGATAGTTTATCCTTATAAAAACTTTGGAATGGGATTCTCTTTCTAGAAATTTTGAGATGTTTCTCTCTCTAAGACTTAAAATTTGATATAATTTTTATCTAAATATTTCAAAGTGCCTTTTCTATCTAAAATTTGAAATTTGAGATAGTTTCTCTCTTTAAAATTTTGATATAATTTATTTTCCTAAAACTTAAGATAGTTTCTCTCTCTAAAACTTAAATTTGAGAAAGTTTCTCTCTAAAAATTTTCAGATAGCTTCTCTCTCTTAAAATTTTAAATTTGAGATATCCACTCTCTCTAAAAACTTTGAGGTAGTTTCTCTCTCTAAAAAATTTAAGATAATTTCTCTTTAAATTTTTTGAAATAGTTTCTCTCTCTAAAATTTTAAAGATAGTTTCTATCTCTAAAACTTGGAATTTGATAAAATTTCTCTTTCTAAAATTTTTGATAAATTCTCTCTCTAAAACTTAAAATTTGAGATAAAATTTTGAGCTAGTTCCTCTTTTTAAAACTTAAATTTTAGAATAGTTTAATGTAGGTCTAATAGAAGAAGAACCATACATGTGTATCCTCTATTTTCATATGAAAAAAAATTCCAGGGATTATTTTACGACCCTGAATATCTTAGATATGAAACTAATAAAACCTTTACTTCCAAGACTATGCTCATTTTTGGTAATTTATAGCACATTTGGTTCGCATGAAAATATTTTTCAAAAAATATTTTACATGAAAAAATTCTTTCTTGTGGTTAAGTGTGGGAATATTTTTACATCAATTAGTTGCTAATTGGTGTGAAAAGATGCACTAATTGGTATGAAAATATTATCACACTTAATCACATGAGATAATTTTTTATGTAAAAATGTTTTATAGAAAATATTTTCATACAAACCAAACTTGCAGAGAATAACCGTCAACAATAACCTATGACCTCAAATGCTCAGCTTTCCTCGGATCTAATCCTCCTTGGCTATAATTAAACCACATGGACCCGAGAAGGTTTTGTATGCGGAATCTCTAAACTCAATGGGTTGATTTTGACAAATAAAGTATGAGAAAAAATAATTAAAAAAAAAAAAAACAAGCAACAAAAATAAAGCAGGAAATAAATAACAAAAAAAGAACATCAGGATTTATGTGGTTTATCACGGATGTGACTGCATCCACAGGTATGGTAAACTGAAATCCACTATACCAATAAAAATTAAATCAAAGATTTTGGAATAAACCTCTACAAAAACTCAAATCGAGCAAACCCTTTTTTAAACCACTCTCCATTCCTCTCTTTACTTCTAGTAACCATCATCAACAACACTAGATAGAGATGCGAGAGCAACGAAAAATTGCTTTTTTTCTCTAACTAAAAGGAGAAATAACCCAAAATCTTTATGAGAACCATTTCTCTATAAAAAACCAACTTCTTACTGTGCAGGAGTCTTCAGGAGATACCATCAATGTTTCTCTTCATAGGAAGCTCTTTTCTCTAAGAGGAAATTGCATCTTATGTACAGGAGGTCTTGCCCCCCTCTCTCTCTGGAGGAACCACCATTCCTTTATGGTGACCCAAATAGGGTAGACAAATTCTTTGCACTTTCATCTCATGTATATAGGATTATGAGTCTATATTAAATAGAAAACTTTTTATAGATTTTACTTATATCTCAAAAGACCAAGAGATATATCCAAGAATCTTAATCCTTTTTTAATTTATATTTCTTTTAGGAAACTAATCAATATTATTCTCAATCCTACATAATATGGGAATATCTCAATCTCATATAATATGGATCAATCTCAATCAATCCCATAAAATTTGAGATTTCTTTATGTAGGTGATTTTGGATAGCATCAAATCCGACAATCTCCACCTTGATATCAAAATAAGATGCTCACTTTGCTAACATCCATCGGATAGCTTCACAAATTATTTTTCTTTTACTAAATAAATTTCTTCATCATTCTTGCTAAAAAATAGTGTTTCCATCAAATTTCTCCACTTCGAACCTTGCATTCGAAACCTTTATTGTATTACCAAAAACCTTAAACCATGGCTCTGATACCACTTATAGTGCTTTGATACCACTTGTTATATGCGGAAGCTCTAAACCCGATGGGTTGATTTTTTTGGCAAATAAAGTACGAGAGAAAAAGATCGACAAAAAAAAAAAAAAAGCAACAAGCAACAAAAATAAAGCATGAAATAAATAACACAAAAAGAGCACTAAGATTTACGTAGTTCGTCACATATGTAACTACATCCACGGGTCCGGCAAACTAAAATCCACTATACCAATGAAAGTTTTATCAAAAATTTTGAAACAAACCTCGACAAAAACCCAAGTAGAGCAAAAACCACTATCCCTTCTTTCTCTTTACTTCTAGTAACCATTATCGACAACACCAATGAGAAATTAATTTTTTCTCTAACTAAAAGAGGAAACAATCCAAAATTTTTATGAGAACCAATTCTCTACAAAAAACCAACATCTCCCTCTGCAGGAATCTTCAGAAGACACCATCAATGTTTCTCTTCATAGGAATATCTCTTCTCTAAGAGGAAATTGTAACTTATGCACAGGAGGCTTTGCCCTCTTCTCTCTAGATGAACCATCATTCCCATATGATGACCCAAATAAGACACACAAACTCTCTGTACTTTTATCATATATATATGTATATATATATATATATTAAAATTCCATCCTAAATAAAAATAGATCTCAAAAAACCACTACATTCATTTCTCATAGTCAACCAATTCATTGTGATGTCCATTCTCCCCATTTGCTTACAAAGAAAACACACATTTACTACGATATGTTTCCTCTTTTTAAGAGAATATGCAGTAAGTTCTTATATAAGTTCAAAAGTCACAAAAGTGCCTGCACTTTATGTGGAACGGGTTCATTTTCAAATTTTAACAACTTCCGTCGTACACCATCTATCTATCACGTAGATAAATTTTTTTTTCGAAAACTCACCATCTGATTGAGCTTCCAAGATTGTTTTGTTGTCCCAATTAGACTGAAATAAAAGTTTTATATTACTTGCATCAACTTGGCAAATTGGGAGAGCACTATGCCTGGGAGCCTATTGTATCTACAATATGAATCCCATGATATATTTAGCTCACATCCGGATATTATATAACTAATATTCAGGTATTGATTTTCTAATCTTAAAAATAAATAGAAAAACTGAACTTATAGATTCAGTCAACAATTTATAATGCCCAAACAGACTTTTATCTCCTCTTCCAACTAGGATCCTTACATATCTTTCCAAGAAAGGTTAGCAGTGATGTGCTATACCATGTTGGCCTTCGTACTTGCCAACAAGTCAGAATTGTGGCCCCTCTCAAACCTTGATTCCTCAAAATATTTTCCTTAGAAACAATTGCTGGGAAAACAAATTTATAGTTATTAATATATTTCAGACATATGATGGTAGAAAAGCAATCCAACACAAATTTATAGTTGTTAATATGTTTCAGACAAATGATGGTAGAAAAGCACTAACCTGAATGTTTGCGTGAAAATATTTTTTGAAAAACAATTTCATATGAAAAAATTCTCTCATGCAGTAAAGTGTGGGATTATTTTTACATCAATTAGTTGCCAATTGGTGTGAAAAGATGCACTAAGATTAATTGGTATGAAAATACTCTCACACTTAACTGCATGAGAGAATTTTTATGTGCAAATGTTTTCTAGAAAATATTTTCACCTAAACCAAATGTGCCAAGACCTGTGTTTAAAAGCATTTGTTAAGAACAAAACATAGGCGTAAATTCATTCTTTCATACACCAAATATAAGAAATGGAGTTGTATGCGATACCAACTCTTTTTTTTTGGTACAAGGAAGTCATAGTCATTTCTTGCAGTCATATATCGAATTGGTCGGTTAAAAGTGAGCAAAAAAATACAAGAAATTCATTTAAACTTACACCGATAAATAGCCTAATTTTACATTTAATTACTAAAGATGTTTGTAATCTTCTTGCCCAAGTAGTAACCTTTTTCATTAGAAAATAAACTTTAAAAGTAAAAGAGAAAGAAGGTATCTAATGCTTCAACCAAATTGGGCACAAGTTAAAATGATTATGATAAAAAGCAAGAACCTGTACACGACAAAACCCCAAGAGTAGGTGCCTCTCTCAATATATAAAATAAAGTGGCAAGCTGGCTAGACGGTTGAGATTCTCCCACTTATGTTGTTTTTTTCTAAAACTATTTCCCACTCAAATATAATAGTTATAATAATGGAAGAAAGGAGCCCACGTGGGCCTTGCTACTCATCCAAGAGACATTTTCTGGTCGAATGTGTTCCTTAGGTACAACCTCTACAAAGAGTAATGGAGGAAGGTACCCTCGCTCTCTCATACTTTTAAAGAAATTTCGAGTCCCACCACCTCAAGTCCCCTGTAAATTGCACACATGCTCTCCTCTTCATTGACTAATCTCAACTCTCTCTCTCATATGGCTCGCTTTGTACCCATCTTGGCTATGTCTCTCCTTGCTCTTCTGCTCCTTTTTGAGTTCGGGTCAGGACTAGAACCGCAAGCGGTATCCATCTACAACCATCAAAACCCAACTCTGGGGTTGGAAATGGGCCGGGTGGCCCGACCCTATCGGCTTGGCCCTAAAAAACTAGGGCTTGGACCATGAAAGAAAAGCTGAAGCTGGGCTAGGGCCAGGCAACCATGGCATGAGAGCAGGACCGGCCGGCCAGGCCTGGTCCCCTCCCAATAGGCAAGGGGTGGGGTCAAGGCCTTTTTGGCCTTATCAAGGGCCCGGCCAGGCCTGGGCCTGCCCTATGGGGACTAAAGCCCAGAGCGGCCCTATGGGGACTAGAGCCCAAGGCGGCCCTGCCCAGGCCCAGGCCTAGGCCCGGCCTGTTACAATCCCTACCCAATTCTTCTTTGTGCCTTCTAAACATGGAGGTTTCCTCCTCCTATCAAATCTATCATCATCACATATCAAATGGCTTATAATAGAAAGAGATTTATCAAAACTTGAGGATCTAAAGTCTGATGGTCCTATGTTTTTATATGTTTTGTAGGTGACCGAAGGCGCCCTCCCCAAAGGCACCATGGGTAATAATGCTACTATTTCTTGATGAACTAATAACTAAACCACTATTTCCTAATTTATTTCAATGTTTCTAAGCAGTTTTGTGTCTCTTCTTTTGTAGATTGTGGAAAAGCATGCACCGGCAGGTGCAGATTATCGTCGAGGCCACACCTGTGCAAGAGGGCTTGTGGGACATGTTGTGCAAGGTGTAGCTGTGTGCCTTCGGGGACCGATGGAAATGCAAAAATGTGCCCATGTTACTATAACATGAAGACTCATGGCAACAAACCCAAGTGCTCTTAAGCCTTAACAGAGTGCTTCTAGTTGCCACTAAACATGGGCTTCCCTTTCTTGTCTCTTCATTCACTAGACAGGCCAGTCTATCTATGTACTTGTGAGTTGATTTAGAAGGTTCATACTGTAGAAATAAGAGTTCTCCTCCCTCTAGCTTTAGAGGGAGATGTTTCCATGTAGCATCGTTCAATACAGAATGTTGTTTGCAACTAATTCTCAAAGAATCGGGGAAATTCATTTCCACTAGAAAGGGGGATAAAAACATTCCTTGAGAAACAGTGGACTAATTTAATTGAGAGAGAGAGATTTAGTTGACTTTAATTGAGAGAGTTAGTGAGGGAAATAAAAACAAATTATAATTGGGGGAGAGAGAGAGTCACGTAAGGGAATACAAATAAATTACAATTTCTCTCTACACCCTTTTTAATATAAGTGGTGCCTCACTTTCAAGGGGTCATATTTATCTAATAGTCAATGACTCTCAAGATATTTTGAATTTTTTGTGGTTATCCAAATATTTATCTTATTCTTATATCTCTTTATCTCATTAATAAAAAGCCATAAGATTTTCAAAATACCGTCTCACCCATTAAATGGTGGAACCAACTAAAAATCAACATCTTCTGCTCGTCCCTCAATAAATGGGAACAGGTGAACTTCTCCCATACGCTCTATGGGGAAATGAACCGTGAGTTCTTAAGAAGCGACTACATCTCTGCAGAGAGAACCATATTAAAATTTTCATCAAAAATTAAAATATAAAATGGAATTGGTAGCCTTGATTTTAAAATTTATTACCGAATTTTAGAATTCATTATGATTTTTTTTTTTTTTTTGACGAATATCATAAACTTTGTTAATGAAAACACTTAGAGCATGATAATTACATTGTCAGTAACATAAAGAGAAAATAAAGATACCCCAAGACATGCATAAGAATCTACCTCTGAGTTAGCCTACTAATAAACATGTTGAAAAGATAAGGATAAAGATTTTGATAAGTACAAGATCTGAAACAACATCGTTCTAAAATCCCAAAGAATCCTCAACTCTTTATTGCACCACCTGATCACATTCAGCGAATCCCCTTCTAACACGCAGTTAACTCTTAACCCCTTATGTGCAGAAAGCTTTAAACCTATCAATAGAGATAGAATCTCAACGTGGTTAGCAGTGGCCCTGCCAGCAGGACCTACATACTAGAAAATCCTATTACCATGCAAATCTCTAACTACTCTGCCAATACTTGCAAGACCCGGGTTTCCAATTGAACTCCCGTCAAAATTTAATTTAAAGCATCCATACGAGGGATTCACCCAAACGCTTCTTGGCCTACAACTTACCACCCCCAATTTAAAGAGATTGGAGAGATTTAATAAAATATCCGGAGCTGAGATCCCCCTACCTTCTTTAGTAATTGCCATCCAACACCAGATAGTGTGCTGAATGGTGCTCAAAACTCTATCAAGAGGACAGGCCTCCCCATCAAAGATTCTGCAGTTTCTTTCTTTCCACACTTCCCATAAAATTGCCCCTCTTGCAATCATCGACAAAGCATAACCCACTTTAAGTAGATCTTAGAATGCAAGCTGGGAGATAATCTCCAAAATCGTCTCTGGCATGGCAATATGTATTCCTAACTAGGCAAGAGACCAAGACTAAATCCTAGTCACAAAAGGGCAATGAATCAAAAGATGAAACACATACTCTCCATTTGACTTGCCATTTGACTTGCACATTAAGCAAATGGTAGGCAAGATCCTACCCATTTTAATCAAATTATCAACTATCAAAATCTCATTTTGGGTTGCAAGCCAAATAAAAATCTGAACCTTAAAAGGGATCGCCATTTCCACACTTGTACAACTCTTGGAAGAGTCCATCTCGTATGCTTATGAAATAGCAACTGATACATGGATTTGACAGTGAAATGCCCATTCTTCTCCACCTCAGAAACTATCTCATCCTCAACAACTGGTGGCAAAGATATCTGATTCAGCTCTAGCCGGAGCTGGGAAATCCTAGTAATAACTGCATCCCCAACCCTATTATAAGGAAATGTAATATTCCAGAAGATTTGTTCTTCATTTCTTTCCACCATTTCAGCGACTTTTGCATAAGGAAGTTGGACTTCTAAAAAAATATATGGATAAGAGTCTTTTAAAGCCTTATCCCCACACCACTTATGTTCCCAAAACGCGACATTATCCCCAATACCCATGCACCATCTAACATTATTCTCTACCATCGATGTACAGAGATAAATGGCCTTCCAACAATTTGACCCATTAAGATTTCTTATACCACAACCAATCCACAACCCATGTTTATCTTGACCATATTTCGAGGCCAGTACTTGACACCATAATTGGGTCTTAAAGTGTAAGCTTATCCACCACCATTTGCACAGTAAAGCTTTATTAACCAAAGAAATTTTCCCAATACCCATTCCTCATTTACTTTTAGGTGTATAAAGTCTATCCCATCTCAGAAGATAATATTTCCTAGCCTCATCCCCAGAGCCCCATAAGAAGTTTCTCATCACGGTTTCAATCCTTTTAACAACCGATCTAGGCATTTGAAACAAGACATCTGATAAACAGGTAAGTTATCCATACATGATTGTATTAGTGTTAGTTTTTCCCCAATAGATAAAAACTTAGGCTTCCACAAGTCTAATTTAAATTGAGCACTCTATACTACGTTGTCCCAAGATGAAACTGACAGCCTCTTATTAGAAAAGGAAAGCTCTAAATAGGTGATTGGGAAAAAATCCAATTTACAACCTAAAGCACTAGCTAACTCTCTTGATAATGGTTTCCCACAATTATCTCTTAGCAGCAAGGTTTTACTTAGATTAACCTTAATACCTATTACCACCTCGCAGCATTAGAGAAATCATCCAATATGACAGACATGTGACAGATGTTTCGCAAAACAACAATGTATCATCGGTGTATTAAAAATGAGAAATAGGACGACTTTGTGATCCCACTTTGAAGCCAGTGAAATTGTCCCTCCTTTCAACATTCGAGATCATAAAACTAAAACATTCAGCATAAATGGTGAAAATAAATGGGGATAGGGGGTCCCTTTGGCGAAGCCCTCTAGAGGCTCTGAAAACGCCGTTAGGGCTTCCCTTAATACAGATAGTAAAGTGAGCAGAAGAAAAGCATCTATAGATCCAGTTTCTCCATCTATCTCCAAAACCTATTCTCTTCCATCAAAATAGACCATTCTACTATATCGTATGCTTTTTCTATATCCAACTTAAGCACTACTCCAAGTTCTTGATTAGCAATACGAGAGTGAATACATCTTGGAGTTACCAAGACACTATTTGTAATCAACCTATTTTGAATAAAAGCAGATTGTGATCCAGTGATAATGGACGGTAGCACCAGTTTCAGCCTTTCTGCAAGTACTTTAGGCACAATTTTGTACAAACTTGTCAGTAAACTAATAGGCCTGATATCAGATAATTCCACAATGACCGATTTATTAGGAATTAAGGCAATGTAAGTGGAATTAACCCCTTTAAAAATTTCGCCCCTCCAGAAAAATTCCCTCACCATCAGAAGAAGCTCCTCACAAATAACATTCCAAAATCCATCAAAAAGGACCAACGAAAAACCGTCAGGCCCTGGGGTTTTATCACCCAACAATGAAAACACCGCCTTTTTTAACTCTTCCATGGAAATCTCAGCTTCTAATCCAGAAATAGAGTTTGGAAAAAATATTTTAAAAGGAATTTCAGTAATTCTAGGGGCAAACTTAACTTCAGAAGAGAAAACCCTCCTAAAATGGTCAATGACACTATCCTCCAAACCGTTTACATCATCCTCTGCTATTCTCGAAATAGAAAGACCATAAATATCATTTTGACGCATGTGCGTACTAGCTATGAAATGAAAAAATTAGTATTATGATCACTTTCTTTCAACCATTTATTTCTGGATCTCCGTTTCCAATAGATTTCATCTAGTCTAAGAAACTCCTTAAAGGTTTTAAGTTTCTAATTCCTCTCAATGATCAACTCCTCTGTTAAGAACCAGTGTTAAGCATATGCTGGTCTAACAGCTGAATTTCCATCAACACCTCATCTATCTTGCCTTTCAATTGATACTTATAGTCTGACTTCCATTGAACCAATCTATGCTTGACATTCAACAATTTATTATGTAATGGGAAGTCCATCGATCCAAAGGTAACAAAATTTTCCCAAGTACTCTTAATAAGATCCACTACACCCTGCTCCTCCAACAAAGCAATTTCCATTCTAAAGAGTCTCACCCCTCCAATGTGATCCACGGTGCTTAAAATAATGGGAATGTGGTCCGAAGAGAGTCTAGGAAGGGCTTTAATAGAGGTTAAAGGGAACCTGTCCAGCCACTCATTCTGTACCAAAAATCTATCAAGTTTTGAGAAGGACAAATTAATCACACTACTATTAGACCACTGAAAGCTGCATCCAAAATTGGAAGGTCCTCCAAACCAAACCTCATAATGAAGGGTATTAAACCTTCTCATAGAGGAAGTAATAACAAACCCCCCCTCCCCAAAGGACTCCTCTGGCTATCTGACCAAATTAATGTATCCCTTCAAACAAATATGATAAACAGAACCCAAAACAAACTCTAAGAGTTCAGCAATAAAATGCTTTTTTAAAGGCATAATAGAAGGACCATATGTATTTACAAGCCCCCACGAAAACCCCAAAATAAACCATTAAAGAAAATAACAAAAAATTTATCTTTTTTTACTACATCAAACTTTTGTAGGACCAAAGTGTCCCATAAAATCCATAAACCGCCTGAAGCACCAATGGAGTCACAATCAAAATTAACTGCCCCAGAACCCCAAATTTCTTTCACCGCAGCTACAGTTGGTCTAGGAAATTTGGTTTCTTAAAGGATTAAAATCACATGCTTATACTTTCTAACTAAAAACAAAACATCGTTTTTTGCGTCTGGGGTCCCCCAAACCCCTTATATTCCAACTAAGAATAGACATTAAAATTTAGAGGACGATGCACCTGGTTCATCCAGGCCCTAACAGAAGTACAACTG